AAAGCCGTATAATCCACAAAGTGAGCTCTGGCCATCTGAGAAAGAAGCTGTCGGAATAAATCAGGTTGATAACTGATTAGCAGAGCATGTAGTCTGTCATTTTTAAATATGTGCCCAATGTCTTCACATAAATCTTACCTTTAAAATCTTCAAAGGGAGAATTTATTTTGGGCACATTGGCCATGAGTATCAGTTGACATTTATACAGTGCACAGAATTTATACTGTGGGTTAGGATGTTGGCCATAATTCCAGGCTGATAGTTTGTAAAGGGAAGATTCCATTTTGTACTGTTTATAAAATGTTACTTTGCAATTCCATGCTCCAAGACTAACAAAGTCTATCCAAGTATACTCAAGCACTGCAGTTTAACTTACTGCATTCATTAAGCTCGGCTAAGATTGTCCTAATTACATGTTATCAACAATTAAGAAATGGATCACATGCCACAGACTGGCTAAAACATTCTGTATTCTTGGCTGGTTGCCAACGGAGGTGTCACGTTCCATTCTACCTTGTCATCAGTCGCATTCCTGCTTCTGCAGAACAAGTAGCAGCTGTGCTAGACGAAATAATCTGAATTCTCACATACACTTTTCCTTTAGGAGAGAGCTCCTACTGAACTGCATTTCTGCTGTGAACAGTACTACACCTGAGTAAGTTTGTGCTGAAAATATATTTTATTCAAATAGATTTTTTTCACTGATATAATCTTTCATGGCTTTCAAATACATTTGTCCCATCAAAATAATAGTCTTACTTTTCATGCTGAAATTATTACCAAATGGATTCTGTGGGCAGCTGAGCACTCTTTGCTTGTTCAGCAATGATTTTCCTATACCTCAAATTACATAACTTTATAGGTGCTCTGTTTCAAAGGAAAACAATCTTTATTGATCCAAGCAGTCAGAATTAATTGTGGATCTCTGATCTCAAAACTCCTGGCAAAATCCTTTTATTCAGAACACCCATATGCCAGACGTTCAACACTTCACAAATCCTTATGGGAATGATGGGTTTTTTCAAACACTCTGATTGTTCAATCCATTGCGGCTTCTGAAAGCAAAGGTTCAGCAAGGAATTTTTCTGAACCGAAACAGGCTCAACCAACTTTATGAAAAGCTAGATTTGACCTTGCTTTTGCTTCAGTAGTCATCTTTGTTCCTGATAAGGTAAAAATGGGTTTTAGAAGTTGCTGTCCTTTCCCTGTGTTTGACCAAGAGACCCTGGATCAGCAGGTGTGTGTTGCAGCGGGATCAGAGAGAGATGCTGCCAGGTGACAATGCTGAGTCAATAAACCCCAACAGCCAAAAACTATTTGTTCTTTAAATAGTTTCAGTAGTAGACAATCATGGAATGCTCACTCTCATAGGAAGAAATGACTTTCAACTTCTCCACAGAGTTTGGATACACAAGAAATATGTTTTCAGTTATCAACTGACTTGGATCTTGAAAGTTTTACTGTCTCGTGTACACATCAAGATGGAGATTGCATGAGCTCTTTCATTAGGGCCTATCAAAGAGATTTGAGAGATTCACACAGACTCTCTAATATTCATGTAACCTATTCTAGGTCACTGTATACTGAGATTATTTCTTTCAGAGGCAGTAGCTTCTCAACTCTTGCTGCTGTCATTTTGGAACAATGACCTTTGATTTCTTGCGGGAATCTTGTGGATTTCTTTTCTTAATAAATATCTTTAAAGATTCTGGGAAACACTATGTAGGGAGTGTCTATTTTGTAGTAGGTAACCATATTAACACCGGCTGCTGAAGAACCAGTCACAGGGTGCATTCTCTCACATATTTCTTCTCCTCCTTCTGTTATTTCTCCTTTTACCCCTTCTTCTTTCTCCTTTTTTCCCTTATGGTCTTACACTCTGTGTCTTACTCTTTGCTTTGATTTAATATGGCACATAGGGCCAAATTATCAGTTGCTCTCTCTGGTCATTGTTTAACATAGCCATGGTAAAGCAATGCATTGGTAATGGGTTTGCCAGTTTGAGTCTTACTTCTCCTTGCACTTGGATCTTTGTCTGTTTCAATAGATTCTTGGTGATGAAGTACACTTACTAGACTTTCTTTTCACATAACCTGATTACTAAAGAATAAAAGGTGCATCGTTTACTCTTTTTAACATCCAGGACATTTTACAAAAAAAGACATTAAACAGGCTTTAATTTTTTTTTTACAAATTTTCTTTATTGATTTTGTCTAATCTTGTTCTTATTAAAAATAACTTCTCACCATATCTCTTTTTGACCTGACGTTTATTTTTGTATATCTTTTCTTTCTTGAGAATCGGTTTTGCTTTTCCTTACCACCTCTCTTCTCTCCTTTTGTATTATTTCACATTACAATTCAAGTTCAGTCTGACAGCTGCTTTCTTCATCCTCCTCTCCATTTGCTGACCACATCTCTAATTGCCCAGGGTGTGGTGTCTGAAGGTCTTCCAGATATTTGCTTCCAGTGGAAACACTGGCATAACATTGTTGAACTATTGGTGATACTTTTACCATATCATTGTAAGTCCCTACAATTCTCAATTTCAAAATCAATATAGTCCATATTAAGACAAAATGTAAATACTTGATTCTAACAATAACAGAAAGAAGCTTGTATATCTGGTATACCCCCTTTTCAAAAAGTAGTAGACTTGCTCTTCCATGTTATTAAATGCTCAAAGGAAAAGATTTTTTGATAATTCCTGTTTATGGTTGCATAATTTTTTACAGCTACTGAATTATTTGAGCTAAATCCCATTTTTCCTCTCTACCATGATCCTTTTCAAGCTCAACTACACACAAATAAAATGTTACTAGTATATTGGAAATAGATTTTTAAATATTTGTACCATTGGGAGAATATTGATTTCAATCATAAGAGAATTTATTTTCTATTTGTTTCAAAATACACAGGACCAGAATCAAAGTAAAGTCTGTTAGTGCTGAAAATACTTCTTTACCTGACTCAAGAGGCATTTTTGTCATTTGTATTAATTTCCATTTCATTAGCAACATTCTCCTGCTACGACTCAGTAAAAATGTTTGCAGGTAGTGAGTGTCTACTGCTTCCATGAGACATGCCTGACAGCATAGAGTAAGTGCATAGGAAACAGGGAGGCCCTTTACACTCTGTAGCGGGTAGGACAAATCACTGAAATCCTCTTAGATATTAAAAGGGAATGTCCTGAGCTATTCTGAAATCTCAGAAGGACTAACAAAGTTCATTCCATTTGTCACTGAAATTTGACAGTGATGTAGAACAAAACCTTTCCGCAGTGGGGACTGGCTGCACCAAAATCCGTTTGCAACAAGGAAATTAGGTCAGCAGAAATTTAGGTCAACACCTTACAGAGATGTCCTCATGCCTGAAAGAAGCCAAGATAATGTAAACTGTAACATACAAAAAATTATTGTTTTGTATTTAATTCATAAAGTGGTACCTTCCAAAGATTAGTGTGATAGAAATTCAGTTATGATTCAGCAAAGACAATTTCCTTTTGCATCAGTAGCATTGTTCCTGACAAATCTAAAAGCAATACTGAGGTGCTTCTAGCTGAGACTGACTGACCCAGTTCAGTCATGAAATTCAAGAAATATTTACCAAGCCTACATTATGTGCAATGAGCCTATTAGAAAATGAAATGTTATAAAGATTAATAAGCATTCACCCTCTACCCCCTATCTTTGATGACTAAGAAGCTTTAAACACAGGAATAGGAGAAGACTGGGGGTAAATAAGAGTGCAAATTACCCACAGTCACTAATCACACAGTGAATGAACTCTTACTATGTGCCACAGGATAAAAAAAATTGATATAGCAGATGTAAATCAATGTAATTGGTGGATGGAGAGGAGAAAAAGATTAGGCCAGTTTGGGGTGGGCAAGAAGGAAACTTTGCTTGAAAGGGGTAGGTTAACTGAATTTAAAATGAATATAATTTCAACAGATGGTGATCTATAACAGGTCCCTGAGTGGAAGTAGTGGGAAGAAAGACACAGTTGGTACCTAGAGGCAGGAAGCAAGTAGAAGCAGTTCTGCTCCAGAACTTTAGGGTGAGAAAGTGGCATATGCAATACAAAAAAAAAAAAAAGCAGGCAAGACTACTGTATTGTATTTGGAGAATAGTACACGATTCATCTGAAAATAAATATTAAGCATAGAGACAGAAGGTGAAGTATTGATATTCTTTGATTTAAAGTGGGATTATGTCCCAATATAGCTGTTGGTATGTACTGAAAGTTGACAATAATTTGAAAATATATTTAGTATATTAGCCCGCTGAATATCCTATCTTGCTAAGCAACAGTGCCTTGTAGAGAAGAGGCTGTTTATACCCATAATCACATGGCCAACTAGGATGAACGTTTTGCTGTTGCTGCCCAAAATCTTTAAGAACTATCATATTGCATAAGCTAACCTGAAGGGAAAGTTAAAGTTCAAAAGAAACTTTCATGGTAAGACTGGAGAATTGTAAATTGAATAATCAAAATTTGGGACCGTCTGTAGTTAGAAATTTATTTAGATATACCATGAATGCTGGATTTAGGGCTGCGTCAGCCCTTGTGATTTAGGGACACTAGTGACTTGGAATGCTCTCTTGAGATAAATGAATAAAGCATAGAAATGTAAAGTGCTAAATCATATCTGCTGCTCCAGAATGTCTCTAGATGGAAAGGGATTTGATTGACATCTATACATTTACAACACATTTTCTAAAAGGAACAAGGAATTTTACTACATATTCTTTTTAAAGTAGTTTAACTTAAGTTTAATTTGAATGTTTGTTTGGCCTTTGTCGACAAAAACTTGAATGAGAAATAGAAAAAATTAGGTATTTTCTTATTTTCATTGGTTATGAGACCACCTTCTCACTACATACATCAGCTAGCGAAGACTGCTTTCAGCAGTGGAAATTTCATTATCACATCTAATTCTGGTTTGGTAGCACATTAAACTTTCAAGCAGTTAATGACTCTGGTTTTCTTTCTGTTCAGCTTTACCCTTCATAAAAGCACCGGCAAGCGGAAAGAAATGACAGTAAGACTGAATTATGAACTTTAAAAAGTTGAGAACAAGTAACTACTTGTACTGTGAAAGCTGGTCTCTCTGCTCTTGATTAACTGTCTGCAATAGGTCATTGGTGAGTACTGTGTACCCTGGCGATGGTTATTGTAACAGACAGGCTGAGTAAATCACCAGGGTGGTTGGGGGCTCATAGAGAGAAATTTCTTTTAGATTTCTATTAAATACATAGATTATAAAAACTGCCTTCATAAAATGACTCAGTTTCTAGAAGTATTCATATTATATTCTGCATGTCATAATTTTGACAAAAAATTAAAATAGCATTTTTTGTGAAGTACAGGTGAGTTCCCTAACTCTGCTCACATGAAAGTGCTTTGGAAATTTTTTGATATTAGAGTAAGAAGGAAAACAGGTCTGCGTGTGTGTGTGTGTGTGTGTGTGTGTGTATGTGTGTGTGTTGGAGAAAGCTTGTGTACCTATGTATAGATTACACACACATACACACACACACACACACACACACACACACATATATATATATATATATATATATACATGTTTTTATGTTTGCCATAGATCTTAAGCACATAATCCATGCATTGACAGAAATATTAATAGGAAGCTAACATCACTTGATTGACTATTTCTTCTGCTGCATATAGCTTTAGTCTTCTCCTTTAGATGAAACTGAGGCTCAGAGAAGTTAAATAATCCACAGGACGGACTTAACAAAATGAGTTTTTAAAAACCTAGGAACTAATAAAATTTTAGGATAGATTTCACTTTTTCCTGTTTAAGGTTGCACCATGATAAGCACAACAACCCAAACAACTTGGAAAAGAAAGAGTTCCAATCATTATTGAGGGAAATCAGAGTAAGAACTTTAGGCAGAAGCTTGGAAAGGAACTGTGGAGGACTTCTGCTAACTAACTTGCTCCTCCTGCCTCATGCTCAGTCATGCCTCTTATACAATCCAGGTACAGCTCTCACAAGTGACACCACCCACAGTGGGAAGAGCCCTCTTATGTCAATTTCCAGTCAAGATAGTTCCCCACAGACATGGACGCTGGTTATTCTTTAATAGTAGTCCTTCTTAGTGATTTTTTTTTCAGTCCTTTCTTTTGGAGCCATGCCTCATTTTTTTTTTTAATTTATTATTTTACATGTCGATCCTAGTTCCCTCTCCCTCCCTCCCTCCATCCCTTCCTTCTTCCTTCCCTTTTACCCTGTCTGCCCCCTCACATGCACCCTGACCACCCTCCCCTCCCATCCCCCCAATTCCACATGTAGGGCAATGCCATCCAGGTGGGGTCATGTAGAGCTGTCAGGTCATTTGAAGTTGGGATTAGGACTTCTCTCCTGTCTCTAGGTTAAGGCAGTTATCCCTCCATGGGGGATGTGTTTGCAAGGTCCTTTTGTGCATCAGGGATACATTCTGGTTCCACTGTCTGAGGTCCCTTAGACTGCTCAGTCCTTCTGGCTGAGACCCATATTCAGGGGGGCCTGAGTCAGTCCCATGCTGGCTTCCCAGCTACCAGTCTGGGGGCCCGTTAGCTCCTCCTTGTTCAGGTCAGCTGTCTGTATGTGTTTCTGCAACCTGGTCTTGTCCTCTCCGTCTGCATCTGGGTTCTAGTTTGACTCAGTGTTTAGATATGGGTTTTTGCTTCTGTTTCCAACAGGTATTAGATGAGGGCTCCATGGATAAGTTAGTTGTTGCTCTCGCTATCCGGGAAGGGCATTTACGGTAGCCTTTTCTTGATTCTATTAAATTGACAGTGAAGACTAGTGAGTGCATCTTCCGAAGTTCAGAACCCAAGGTTTATCTGCTGTTTCTTCTCCACTATTGCCTTCTCATCTTTTCCCAACCTGTCCATCATAGTTAAATGTTTCACATAATAAATACAATAAAATGAGAAACAAGTTATTGGCATATTTATAAAGATACCACATAGCTAAAACAAAGACCAAGGTAAGTAGAAATATAAGACTAGATATCAAGTTAGTAACAATGAATAATATATTTAGTAGCAATACTCAGAAAAGATAAAGACAACCAATTTATAAACCAGTAATCTAAAAATACCCCTAAAGAACAGTGGTTGAGTTTCACAAAGGGTGTTTTATATGATGGCCTTTGTAAGCATACCTGTTGCAGGTATCTGATGGTCTGGTTTAATTTCTAAATACTTTTTCTAAATATTTAATTTCTAAAATAACTTTGCTATTATAATTTCATGTATAAGTCCCTGGGGTGTGCACACACAAACACCTCAGAATGAACAAATCATTGAATATCAGAATGAATATGTACTCTCTCTCTGGAGAGCTGGTCTTCCATCTCTAACTCATTACTGTCATCTGAGGGGTCTGATCTAAATTGTCTACTGAGTGATTTTATGAAGCAGTTATGTCTGTCATGGGCACATATGCGTTGTGTCAGCATGTGAGTGTCTTATAGAAACTGTTTTGGGGTCTTCAGGTTTGGCTGTCATCATTTGTTTATTATTATCATCATTGTCCATGAAAAAATTCATGAAGTGCCTATAAATGGCAACCACATCACAATTCTAAATTGCTTTCATTTAGACCTTTATATATTCTACAAATTGGATCTGTGCAATCGGGACACTTTTCATCACAGATGAATGTTGTGTCATGTTAGGTGAGGTGGCTCACAGTGACCAGTCTTCAGGGAAGAGTTTTGCAGGCAAAGTATGCTATAGGAAATAGAAAATCGGGGTGCAAATCCCCTCCTGTACTTGTCTGTGAAGACTAACTTCTGCTTTGTTTACTTGAATTGGGTGCAATAGCAGCACAGCAGAACTTAAGACAGCTTTCTTTCCTGTCTTCTTTGATAGAGATTCTCTATAGGGAATCATAATTATAGAAAAAATTGCTTTTCTTCTTTATTAAAGCTAATTAAATATAAACTTGCTGTTAGGAAAACGATAGCCACAATGAGTTTGGGTAGCTTGATTTGTTTTGAAAGAAATATAGTCAATTTAACAAAAGAGAAGAGGTGTAAGCATAGTCTTGCATCCATTCTGAATCTAACATTCTCCTGTAAATTAGGGAATAAAAAACTCCCAAAAAACTAGGTCAGAGATAACAAGGTGGAAATTAAAATGACTGTATCAATTATTTGCTTAAGTTATTTTCTAATATTTCATACTGTAGGATCTTTTATATAAGAGCCCCATTTATTCTACTCTATAAAGAAAACTATGTTTTAACATAAAAACTATTTATAGAATCCTTTAAAAGATGATGAATGAAGAAAAATCATATAGAAAACAAGTAGGGGAAAATATGAGAAACCTCTCATTTAGAATTATCCCAAACTATGAAATAGAACCAATAACTAAATGAAAACTAAAAATTGGCTTTACTTTTAAATAATTTGTAATAAATCTTGACAATAAAGAATAAATTGATTTTTTTTTAAAAAATGAATTATCTCAAACTAAAATTTTCAAATTGTTGTTGGTCTGGTAAACAGCATTGGTATGTTAAAGAACATCATTGGGGCATTAGAATTTCCTTTCTCTCTGCCTTGGGCAATGTGCTTCTTCCAATGGTTGGTTTCCTGATGTACTCTATATTGCTGTTGTTTCCATTGTTATATCTTCCTTTCTTAAGCTTAGATTAACCTATTAATTTCCAGATTCATATCTATCACAAAGTGCTAGGAAAGCAAGCCTAAGTAAACAGAGATTTGTATAAATGATATGGCCCAGGGCCCTTTGTGTGCTTAGCTGCCCTTATCTGCTCCTTGGACCTGAAATTTTATGCCTTCCTTAATGACAAAATCATGTCCTTTGAATGTTCTATGGCACCTTAAAATGGGTTATTTACTGCTCCTTTCTAGTGCTTACAGCTCTCTACATGGATATTTGGATTTAGTTGTTCTGAGATTATGAAAATATATTTGGCAATGGAAATCAGAAGAAGGGTTCAAAATACAGTAGAGAACTGACTAAATTCCCATAGTCAAGCTCTGTCCCTGGTTCACTAAAGTTCATTGGTATACGGCATCTAAAAAGTGAGTGTTAAGGCAAGTATATTTGGCCAGATATCACATTGAAGAGTGGTCCTTGCCCCTGTCCGTGTATTAGAGTTCTCTGAAGTCCCATAACTTATGAAATGAATCTATCTGCTTATATAAAAATGGGAATTTATTGGAATGACATACAGATGTCAGTCCAACTAACCCAAAAATGGCTAGCTGTGAACAGAAAGTCCATGAATCTAGTAGCTGCTCAGTCTTACAAGGGTGGGTGCATTAGCTGGTCTTCAGTATATGATGGAATCCAAAAGAAATAGGCTCCAATGTCCATAAAGGAATGTATGTATAAGCAAAGTGAGGGCAAGTAAGCAAAATGCAAAACCTTCCATCTTCCACGTCCTTATATAGACTTCCAGCAGAAGTGTAGCTCAAGCTAAAGATGTGTCTTCCCACTTCAAGAGCTGGATAAAAGGCATGTGTCTTCTTACCTGAAAGGTCCAGACAAGAAGTGCTTCAAACCAAGCAGAAAATCTCTCAAAGGTGTGCCCTCTATTTCTGGATTGTAGTTCATTCCTGATATAGTCAATTTGGCAATCAAGAACAGCCACCACATCTAGTTTGAGTGGCCCTCTTCCAAATGATATGACAGACTTTGAAGACGTCCCACGGAAGGCTTCATTCTCCCTGTGGAGCAGAAAGGGGATGGGATAGGAGTTGGTGGGGGGAGCGAGGGGGGGCAGGAGGGTGAAGGAACTGGGACTGACATGTCAAACAAGCTTGTTTCAAACTTAAACAAACATTATTAAAAAAAAAAAGAGTGAAGTTGTTTTCGGGGCATCAGGATGGGACTTGAGGTTCTGGTTCTTACAGTGTGGATACAGGGAAGGAGAACAGATCCTCACAGCACCAAGGTTTTGCTTGGTGAGGGCAAGGGCAGGCAGGGGTGAGCATGCTGAGGGGCAAGGGCAGGCAGAGGAAGCTTTCTGGAGGAGGCTTCAGCTGAGCTTGGATCATACATTTCAGGTTTTGTAGGTTAAATGGGGAGAAGGAAGGTATTCTAGACAGGTAGTCTTTGAAGTAAGTGTAAAGGG